ACACACACACACACACACACACACACACACACACACACACACACACATATCTGACAGCCAATTAGAGAAAAGTCAATAAAAATGCAGATTGAGAAGTAGCCCTGCAACAAACACTGCAAAAGAATGAAAAACTTCTTGACCTATAAGCATTAGAAGACCCTGATAGTCACCCATGTGAATCTTACAGTGGTTATTCAAAAGTTAAAATAAGGGTGCATTCACACCAGCCCTGTTTAGTCCGCTTTAATCAGAGTCAGAGTCAGAGTCAGAGTCAGAGTTTCTTTATTGTCATTTGCACCTCATGTGGTACATGTGGTGGAGCGAAATTATGTACACAAGGTCCCAGTTACATCCAACAATAAAATGTATAAGAAAAACAGTAATAACATCTAAGATATGAACTAAGAAAAGCATCAACTAAATATACACTAAGCACTCATAACATAAAACATTGAACATCAGCACAAACATGAACATGAGTCTGTGAGCAGATGTGCACGCATGAACACATCAACATTGAAACAGATCAGCAGCAACATGAAACAGATCACCAGCAACATGATATGGTTTTTCACAGTGATTATTCTAGTTAGAGATTCATGAGTCTAACAGCCTCAGGGTAGAAGCTGTTCCTCAGTCTAGTGGTTCTACACTTAATGCTCCTAAACCTCCTTCCTGAGGGGAGTAGGGCAAAAAGTGTGTGTGCTGGGTGAGTGGGGTCCTTCATGATGCAGGTGGCCCTCTTCCTGCATCTGGAGGTGTAGATGTCTGTGATGGTGGGGAGGCTGATTCCGACAGACTTCTGTGCAGCCTTCACCACTCTCTTCAAAGCTTTTCTTTCTGCAGCTGTGCAGCCTCCATGCCATACGTTGATGCTGGAGCACAGGATGCTCTCCACTGCACACCTGTAGAAGGAGGTGAGGACTGAGCTTCCCAGACCAGCTCGCCTCAGCCGTCTGAGGAAGTAGAGTCTCTGATGAGCTTTCTTGATCAAGCTGGTGGTGTTGTTGCTCCAGCTGAGGTTGTCATTCATGTGTACACCCAAGTACTTGTAGCTGGAGACCACTTCCACCGCAGCTCCTCTTATGTTCAGGGGGGTGTAGATGTTTTTTGTTCCTTCTGAAGTCCACAATCATCTCCTTTGTCTTCTTCACATTGATGTGAAGGTTATTCTCTTTGCACCAGCTCTCCAGGTGTTCCACCTCTTGCCTGTAGCTGGACTCATCATTGTTTGTGATGCATCCCACCACCGCTGTATCATCTGCAAACTTTACAATGTGACAGCCTGGATGGGTAGCTGCACAATCATATGTGAGCAGAGTAAACAGGAGGGGGCTCAACACACATCCCTGAGGAGAGCTAGTGCTGAGGGTTATGGTGGAGGAGGAGAAGTTGTGGATCCTCACTAACTGTGGTCTGTTTGTTAAAAAGTCTAGTACCCAGTTGCAAATGGAGGGGCTTAGTCCTAGTGTGGATAGTTTGTCCATCAGGGTTTGGGGGATCATGGTGTTGAAGGCGGATGTGAAGTCCACAAAGAGCATACGGACGTAAGAGTTTTTCTGCTCCAGGTGGTTGAGCGCAGTATGGACCACAGAGGAGATGGCATCCTCTGTTGATCGGTTCTCACGGTATGCATACTGATGAGGGTCCTCATTGATGTTGATGGTTGTTTTGATGTGGGTCATGACCAGTTTTTCGAAGCATTTAGCAACTATCGGGGTGAGGGCCACTGGCCGATAGTCATTCAGACCAGTCACTGTAGAGCTTTTTGGGACTGGGATGATGGTGGCAGTCTTCAGGCAGGTGGGAACTGTCTCCAGGGTAAGTGAGGTGTTAATGATGTCTGCCAGCACCTCACAGAGCTGATCAGCACATTCCTTCAACACTTTTTCGGGGATGTTGTCTGGGCCAGTTGCCTTGTGCGGATTAATCTTCCTGAAAGTACTCCTTACTTCAGCTGAGGTCACGCTGAGATGCTCTTCATCCGGTGGTGAGGTGAGTCTGGTGCTGGGGGCTCTGTTCGGGTCTTCAAAGCGTGCATAGAACTTGTTGAGGGCATCAGGCAGAGATGGGTCTTTGGGGCATTGTTTGCTCCTTCCTTTATAACCTGTTATGCACTTAATGCCCCTCCACATGCTCCGAGGGTCTTGTGAGATGAATTGACCCTCGATCCTCTTTGCATATGTGGCCTTGGCCCTCTTAATACCAGCAACCAGCTCTTTTCTTGTTCTACTCAGCTCCTCTGAGTTTCCAGACCTGAAGGCAGTGTTCCTGGCTTCCAGCAGGGTACGCACCTCTGCATTCAGCCAAGGTTTTCTGTTTGGGTAGCTTTTAACATTTCTGATAGTGGAGACGGTTTCAGTACATGTACTAATGTAACCCAGAACTGAGGATGTGTATTGGTCAAGATCAAGCGAACGATTTAATCGAACTATAGCTCGTTTTCCTAGAAAGTCAAAACAAAAAGGTCAACTCTGGCCCGGTCTAAAACCTAGGTCTCGGTCCGGTAGAAGAGAACTCCAGCGTGGTTCGAGTTCAGTGTGTATGTAATCAGACCGGGCCCCGCTCCACAAGCAAGAAGTGGAGTACAGCGCAGGACAAACAAACACGCATTTCTCTTACCTTATATGGGGCCGTCAACTGCCTTGTGTGAAAAACAACATTCTCCATGGTCTTCTGCCTCATCTTCTGCTCATGCTGAGTCAATTTTTGAAAAATGACAAAATATAACTCCTAAAACTGCTAAAACTTGATGCCACTCCATTTTTGTTTTTATTTCCAGAAGAAGAAGAAGTGTGTTCAGAGGTTTTTGTGTTGTTTCTTTCAGTAGTTCTTGGTGCAGCGCCCCCACAGGCGAGCCGGGGAACAGGTTGGTTCAACAGGTTGGCTCGACTGCACAGTGCAGTGTGAATGCAAACGCACCAGCTCAAATGTAAACAAAATGTCATGAATATTGGTCCCCAACCGAACCGAGTCTAGCGGACTATTAGGTGTGAATGCACCCTAAGACTTCACTTTCAATTTTGAAGTAATTTTTAAAGCTAAAACATAAGAATGTGTGAACATTTAGCTGTGCAGATGCAAGGGATCATTGATACTCATTTTTTGGGGGCTGTTAAAAAAAACAAACTGTTAGTTATTTTCTGGTTTCAGGTTGTGATAACTGTATATGGCAGCTGAATGGGGACCTGAAGCAATCCATTAAGACGCTGGACCAGCTGAAGGTTGGAGTGCTGAACATCTCCTCTGGTGCTGCTGCTTACGACAGGCTCAAATACTATAACTACACAGTCCATCAACTACAGGTACAGAGTCATTTAAAGCTTGCCATACTTTGTCAGAGGAAAATTTACCATTGCAGTAAATTTAAGAGCTATGTGTTATCATCATTTTATGTTCCCACACAATTATGACATTAGTTCTCTGCATTTAACAATCACAGGTGAGATACAGCCAGGTGGAGCAGAGGGCAACTATGTAGTCGCAAGGGGAGAAATTAGGGATTGGGTGTCTTGGTCAGGATGACATGTGGGCATGGCTGGGAGTTGAACCTGTGACTTTCGTGTTGCAAGTTGGCTGCCCCACCTCTAGACCATCTTAGCCCCTCTAGCTTACAGTACCTGGTGTTCCCAGGCGGTCTCCCATTCAAGCACTAACCCTAACGTCACCCTGCATAGCTTCCGAGATCAGACAAAATCCGCCATTTTAAGGATGGTACAGTCGTAAATGTAAAAAAAAAAAAAATTATGTATATATATATATATAAATACATGTAAATATATATATATATGTATATGTATATATATGTATATACATATATATATATATATGTATATACATATATA